TATTTTGGTATTTTCCTTACCCCATCAGTTTTAAACGTTTTTAGTAATATTTTAGGGGTCTAAACTGATTTGGGTCAGTTTTCACAATTCAAAATTACGCTTAGGGTTTTGAGAGGAGTTCAAGAGGAGAATAGAGGAGAGGTTCAAAGCATTCGCAAGATTCTTGAGATTTGCCGAGGAATTTCTCTAAGGATTCGATCCTAACGAGGTATGTAAGCTCTCATAGTGTTGGGTTCGTTCACCCACACTCCAATCATGTGATTTTAATCCATAATTTCGTTCTTGAGGTTCAATATTTTAGTGTTTGAGGTTTTGTGCTTCGTTCTTTGATAATGAAGTTCTTGATTGAGTTCTTGAGGTGAGAGTTGTGAATGAGTGTTGTTCTTGGTGGGTTTTGACGTAGATTTCGTTGTAATTATGTTGTGTTTAAGAATTCAAAAGAGTTTAAGGGAAATCATTTGGTTCTAGATGAGTTAGGGCATGAGATTGAGCAAGGAAATTCGTCGGAAATTGCTGGGAAGTGGCTGGCGCGCCGCGCCAGTAGTGCGCCAAAAAAGAGAGTCTGTAGTTTAGAGGCTGGCGCCCCGCACCACTTAGTGTGCCAGGGTCGCATGCCCCCGTCCTTTTTTTGTCGTTCGTCCCATCTGAGTTCTTTTAAAGTGTACCTTCACTGCTTTTTGGTTCTAACTACTCTAAACTACGTCTAAACATCGAGGGATCTTTTCTATCATGAATCGTCACTCTTGAATTCATAATTCAAATTCAAGATCAATTTAAGAGTAGAGTTCGAGGAAGTTCTATTGAGTCATTTGAGAAGTCTTTTACAAACTTTTAAAACTTGTTTTATGACTTGAGTACTTGAGTATGAGGATAAGGAGAGTTGAATTCATTTTTCAAAATGAATATATAGGGACTAAGTATTCCCAAGAGTAAATGTTTTTACATTTAAAATAAGAGGCAACATCGATTTCCCAACGAGTTCATGAGGAATTTTGAGTACTATCTCTTTTAAGAGAAATCTTTTGAGTAATAATCTCAAAGTTTGAGGATGAGGAAATGTTATTAAACATATGAGTTGAGTTACCTTATTGGGAGTAGTATTGAGCACCGATATGGGGATGAGTTCAAACAACTCAAAGTCCTCATAAACAATGTAGTCAACGTGGGTATAAAGGGTCATACTTTTTAGATGATTCCTTATTGTTTTTTTAGCATTGCTTAGTGGATCCACTTAGTTGAGGATGTCTTATACTCCAGCAAGGTATAAGACAGTTTTGGCAGCATGGGCGAGATGATGTATCATCACATAGCTCATAGTGATGGGTGTCGCTTAGAGAATCTCCCAATTAAGAGTAAAAGAGTTTTATTGTATTTTTAAATACATTGAGTTACACATTACTGTTTTAACAACTTTCTTTATAATGCATCTTATTATTTTCTTTTATATTGAAGTGAGTTGAGTACTTCTGAGTTCTTGAGTATCTTTGAGTCTCTTGGGTATCCATGAGTTGAGTTGAGGTAAGTATGTTCTCCTTTTATCAGTTCAAGCTTGCAGGTTATGTTAAGTGTTCCCCTTACATGCTCGTACATTCAATGTACTGATGCCATTTGGCCTGCATCATTTTATGATGCAGATATAGGTAACAAGGGTCATCAACAGGCGATTCGTTGATACCACTTGTTGTTCGAGTTAGCTTTGGTTAGTTTCCTTGCTTCCGGAGGATTCCATTTACTTTTAACTTTGTTAGGACGTCGTGGGTCTTGTTCCGACTTCCATCATAGTTATTAGAGGCTTTATAGATAGACAATAGTAGACAGTTTTTTTTCATTTTCATTGTTAATGTTTCAGACTTGAGTTGCCTTCTTTTGGCCAGTTGAATGTTCTTATATATTTCTGAGTTTATTATTTTGAGATATTTGAGTTAAAGCTTTATCTTTGAGTTCATCTAATGTTGAGTAAGTCTTCCACTAAGAGTTTAGCCAGGCCAAGGGTTTGCTTGGGGCCAACAATGGTTCTCTAGTGCCAGTCGCGTCCAGGGTGTAGGCTCGGAACGTGACATATCAAATCAATACTGGATAAATAAACATGAATGGATGAAGTATTCCTTGTATTCTACCAATAGTATTTAAACTGAATATATATATATATATAATTGTAATTTCATTGGACACAAATATTTGATCTATCATAATCTCCTTTATTCTTATTAATTTGATTTCCCAAACAATATAATAATATAAGTATATGAGGAATCAACTACTATACAAAGAGAATAATGATTGATAACAAAGCACATGAGTATTTTAGGAAAATATATATATGAGTAAAACTTATCCGTATTTGGTGTATACATCAATTCAATATATGATGAATAACCATGTTCTTTCACGGATAAAAAAATGTATATAAATTATAGGAACCACATATTATAAGTACTAAATAACATCCTATCCCTTCTAGTTTTCTATTTACCAAAAATCCCTTAAAAATGATGTGTGCGGGATACATTAGGTTTGATACATCCCACATAGCGGGATACATAGTGTTGTGCACGGGATACATTAGGTTTGATACATTCCACATAGCGGGATACATAGCGTTGTGCACGGGATACATAGCTTTGTGCACGGGATACATAGCATTGTGCATGGGATACATAGGTAAAATAAGGGATTTTTGAAATTTTTGAAATAAGTAGGGATAAATGGATATTAAGGTAAGTAAAGGAGTGTAGTTAAGTAATTTTTCCTTGTTTACTATTCTAATAGGAATCATTATTTAAAGTGGAAACTTTAAGGATCCTATTTTAGATGAACAACTGACTTGGGCGATGTCTATTATGAACACATGTTTACGTAAGACTTTTAGGATACAATAACATATTTACTAGGTTTTGATATTTTAAATATTAATAGAATTAGTAAATTATAATTGATTTTAAAAAATAGTAAATAACAATTAGTTTTTAAATTAAAGATTTTGTCTAAAGCGAAGTCTTTTAATAAAGGATAAAAAGTTCAAAAAATATTTCTAAGACATTCATGCTTTTAATAAAGTACTAATTTTTTGACACGTGCATTGCATGTGATTTCCAATTCTAAAAATATATGTTATAGTAAATAGTATTGCTTATTTAAGCGAAGATTTGAATAATAAGCTTAGAAAAAAATAATATTGCAGTTTCTTTTGTGAATGTTCAACGTGGATCGTTGTATATATCTCTTATTCACACAAACCTATGAAGATGGTCAATGAAAATTTTTAATTTAGTTAAATGCAATAATGTATATATTTATTTCAGTTTGATTGAGGTTTCAATAATGTAATTAGTCTTATCTCACTAATATTACCTTATAGACAATATTTGCTTTGTATTTTTCTTGTCATCTAACCAGATGTTTAGATGTCATATGAACATGTGAAGAGAATAACTACATTTTATATATTCACATATTTTCACATTTGTTGTGCGTTTTATTTTTCCGGAACATTTTAAAATAATATATTTTGAAGTTAGAAGATCTTGTTAACTTGATGATACATTTGTACCATATAATACTTTAATTTAAATACAAATACCTATCCAGATAAATATATTTGGATTAATGAAAACATTTATCTCATAAATTAACTATTAAATAAATAATAAAAATTAAACTAATACAAACATCAACTGGCATTATTACAAGTCATATGAACTTTTCTTCGTCTAAAATACTGAAATATTAAGAAATAGTAAATAAGTAAAATAAAAGGGCAATGTTTATATAGTAATAACTATTTTGAAGCAAACTTCATGAGAGTCTAAATCACATAAGTAGCATTGATAAATAAAGTCATTCTTTTGTCTTCAACATAAAAAATAAATCGTGACAATTCTCTTAATTTTGGAAAAGATATTCAAAACCATATATCTACATCACAAGAGAAATTGTTAACAAAAAAAATGAATTTAGACTACATCATGTTAACTTCATATATTGAAACATTACATATTAATGTATATAAAGTATAACAATAATTATTATATCAACAAAATTATTTTCCTCAAATACTCGAGGTTATGTAATATACCCTCTCAGGATAGAACAACTTACTTCATCAGAATAGTGGTACCTCATATTCCGCTAAACTTCAAACTCACTCAAAGATAATAAATCACACAAAAAATTTCAAAATGCAAGAAAAAGAAGAGTAGAAGATTAAAAAAACTGTGGTTGAAAAATGAGAGGAAGCCCCTCTATTTATAGTCAACAAAGGGTAGTATGAACAAATATTTTTTGTCTTATTTGAAAAGTCATGACCTTTTCGAGAAGTCACAACCCTTTGGAAAAGTCACAACTTATTGAAAAAGTCACAACTCTTTGGAAAAAGTCACAGTTTATTGAAAAAAGTCACAACTCTTTGGAAAAGTCACAACACATCGAAAAATCACAACCTTTCGGAAAAAGTCACAACTTATCGAAAAAGTCACAACTCATCTTAGGGATATTATAGTAATTAACATTCAAGTTATATATATATATATATATGCTAACTTAGGATAAGAAGCATTCCCTATTATATTTTAAAATAATCATGTAAATTATATTGTCAATTGTCATAATGTAAAATCATATTATTATAGCCGTTTATCCTTTATGAATAAAAAGAGACAGAGAGACAGAGAGATTTGAAATATATATTCTGAATTTACGTAGATATTATCTTATAAGAAAAATTTTAAATCCCAACAAGGTTTAAATGAGTGATCCAACGATATTAGTGGGTATCCTCAAAATCATTCTTTAATTTCTCTACCTTTTTTTTCCTTTTTGCTATATTAGTAATTAGTATCTTCCCTAAATCATTTTCCTAGTTATTTGGCCCTTTAAGTTTTTTTTGTCTTTTCACAAATTTACAACACATTTAGTCCCAGAATTAAAATTTATAATCACCATACAAATTTTCAAAAGAAACAATATAAATTTTGTTTAATAGAATAGTTAGCTAGGGTTTGATGGATCCAACAGAGATACGTAGAGTTTTTCATATGTTCGATCGAAATGGAGATGGTAAAATTACGCGAAAGGAGCTAAGCGATTCGTTGCAGAATTTGGGAATTTACATTCCTGAAATGGAATTGGTGCAAATGATCGATAAGATAGATATAAACAGAGACGGATATGTAGACATGGAGGAATTTGGGACATTATATCAGTCGATAATGGATGAGAAAGATGAAGAAGAAGCTATGAGAGAAGCTTTCAACGTGTTCGATCAAAATGGTGATGGATTCATCATGGTGGAGGAATTGAGATCCGTTTTGTCATCGTTGAATTTGAAACAAGGAAAAACCCTAGAAGATTGTAAAAGAATGATCATAAAAGTTGACGTGGATGGTGATGGAATGGTTGATTACAAAGAATTTAGACAAATGATGAAACGTGGTGGATTTGCTTCTTTGAGCTAGCTAGCTCAATTAAAAAACAAAGTTTTTAAAACATTTGAAATGAATGATATTTGAAAATTTAGAAGCTAGATACGAAAACAGTCCTAAATAGTTTGATCAAATCAAATATACAGTTGCATGTATGACTTTTTCATCTTTTTATTTTTCTTTCTTCTTGTTAATATTGTTCAAAAAAAAGTCAATTGCGTTTATGAGATTTATTCATTTCATATGAAAAGATGTAATCTTCGTTCCATACCAGTTGATCATCTTATTAAAAACAATTATATTATATTAGTTGTCCACTTTACTAAATTAAGAAAGTATAGTAATTAGATTTTTCCTACATTACCCTTGCAATTAATTCTTTTTGAAAGCGTTCACATTTACTTGTAAAATTCTCAAGAAGTTTTTTAAGGGGGATAAATTACTAAAATTATCCTCTTATTTATGATTTCTTAATATATGCGTATAAAGAAAAATGATCAACCAATATGGAACAGATGGAATAGCTCTATTTCTGCACATGTGTTCCTATACATTAATCATGTAGTGTTCTTGATTTTCATTGTATTATATTCTCATCTTTGCTTGTTTTGTTCATTCAGTAAAATGTTTACAGTATTTTGTTACTCAATGTTATCAGTGGCGGATCTAGAATTTTTGTTGAGGGGTTTCGAAGTATAAAGAAGTAAACACGTAAAAGTTACAAGATGAAAAATCGAGTGACATGAGAGGAAAATTTTAATTTTAATCCGCTAAATTTAACTTATATTGTCATTTTGTATTTATGTTCTTCCTACTTTTACCCTGGTCTATCGAGCTTTTAAATTTTCTAGTGTCTTTCCTTTTATTTTGCAGTATTCTACTTTTTAGATTTTTTTCTAAATTTTGAATTAGTGCACATTTAATCATATGTTACTTTAAAAATCATCAAGATTCTTTAGAAAGGTGTAAAGATCGAGTTACTAATATTATAGTGCATATTCCGAAAATAAATAAATGACATCGTCGATTTTTTTAGTTCATTTAATTCAATTTACTAGGTTAATCATTTATTTTAAAAAACAAATTATGAACCAATCAAATAAGTTTAGT